CCAGGTATTAAGGAAATGAGGTAAGGAAACTATCTTCAATCATAATATTTCATATTTAATAAATATACCTACCTCACCTAACATTCCATAAATATTTGAAAGGCGCGCAGATATCCGTATATTTTTTGTTCGCTTTTAGATCTTTGGTATCGCTGTAATTGCATTTATATCTATTTTAATTTCTTCAATAAAAGAACGCAGCATGACGCCTACATCATTACCACCAAACTATTATTCCTTCGGTAATAATAAAAAAAACAATGACCAATAACCTTAAAAAGATATTAAAGAACGTTGCTGGTATGTAATTGCGGTAAGAAGTGACCAAAGCTGAAAGGAAGGCCAAAATTCGTAGCTTCTTTTTTGAAAGTCGGTCAGGGGCCCAGAAAGATCATGTTCAAACTAGAAAATTGTGACAAGATTTCTTTTACCATACTGTATTCAAGATATCAAGATATCAAGACATTCAAAATGGTCATCAAGCATTCCCTTGAGGAATGCAATAAACCCAAATCCCTTCAAAAACATAAGACCAAATGGTAATCTCGTGGTCAAGATAAATTAAGATTACACTAAACTGGTATCCCACAATATCCAAGTAAATCAAGATGCTCATGAAACTGAAGACACTCACTGGACTAAAAATACAAACGCGAGCCATATAGCCCACTCAACATAGATCCTGCCAAATAGGGGAAATAATTTGTGCAAAAGAGAATTTTTTATACGTGGTTTCCTTCTACACCGTATGAAATCGAAACTGTCCTCCAGTGTTTCTTGGATTTGCCATCAGTACGTTACCCACATACAGAGACATTACGGTCCACACTGTATGGTGGTTTTTGATGCACCAGCACAAAACGAGCGGAGCAGAAGCGACGAGATTCGCCAAAAACTTCGGTTGACATTTACTGTAACGAAAATACGATCATCACTTTTCGACAGGAGCATTTCCTCGCCAATGGAACGAATAAAACGAGATTAACTGAATTCCTCACCGAGAAAATGACAGCAACATGGATTGAAACAACTGTTGCTGGAGATGCTGATGCCACATTGTTAGGTGCGGGTTGGATAACGCTCCCGTACATCCAACTGTTGTAATCGTTAGGGAGGATGTATGGATGTTGACTTGATAGTCCCCCTCATAGCTCAACAGCTTCCTTTCGCCAAGACAATTACCCTCCTCCACAAATTCTCCGGGTGCGATACCACCTCCGCGACCCATGGAAAGAGCAAAATGCGAATTGCTCAGCTGTTTAGGTCTGCACCTGACCCAAAAAAATGGCAGACATTTTCAGTAAGCCCTCAACCATCACCTGAGAGTATTGAACAGGCCAGCGAGAAGCTTATTCTGGCGATTTACAAAGCACCCGACTCCATCTAACACCATATTTTGTGCACGAATTGTCCGCTCCAGTGTCTGCAGTGTATGCTCCGATTCATACACTAACAGAGCTTCCATCGAAGACATCGGCGAAGATTATGTTTTCGAGATAGAAAATGATTAAAATTTTTATTTTTAAGAGTA